TGGCTCATAGACAAAGAAATTAAACCATCTGCAGTAGGTACTTATGAGAGAAGTGCCTGAAAAGGGAGGGAAATGAGGTGAAGGGAGAATAAGGAATGAAATTTCAGAGAGACCACTGCCAAAGGCTATTCTGGCATCCCTTTTCTCTGGTGTCAGGTGGCTTCCAAAAATTGTGATCACTGAAATAACCCTGATATGGCTGGCTCATAGACAAAGAAATTAAACCATCTGCAGTAGGTACTTATGAGAGAAGTGCCTGAAAAGGGAGGGAAATGAGGTGAAGGGAGAATAAGGAATGAAATTTCAGAGAGACCACTGCCAAAGGCTATTCTGGCATCCCTTTTCTCTGGTGTCAGGTGGCTTCCAAAAATTGTGATCACTGAAATAACCCTGATATGGCCCCAACAGTCCCATCAAATATGCTGAGGTGCCACCAGTGCATGATGTGTCACTAAGAAGTAAAAGAATGGCATCTCCCAGTATAGCTGGGCTTTCTCCTGGGTGGATAACTGGGCTCTCTGGTACAAAACCACAGGCTCTTCTGTTTCATCTGAGGTGTGTAACAGAAAGGTTTTTGATAAGGAGACAGTGCATAAATTCTAAAGGACTGCAAAGTAGCCTTCAAATCTCTCAAAGAATGCAAAACATTGTGTGATCACTGAGCAACTCCATCCCTTCATAGGACAGGTCCTTTTTAGTAGCCTACAGAAACTTCAGAATCCTTGATTCCTGAAGCCATGAGGTTCTTCATATAGTGATGTCGGTACTTTTATATACATATAATCACTCTTGCCTTGTGTGTACAAAAAAAAAAAAATACATGCCTATAGTTGGATCTACAGTTATATATACTTGAAGAACCATAGATAACTTTTCTCGGGCACACCAAGCTCCTTTTTAGCACTTACTGATTTGGAACCAGCACTGAGACATCTTCACAGAGCACATATACAAACATTTTACACCTTTCTGCCATTAATTTCTATCACGGGGTCTAAGAGGTGGAAGACTCTTTTACTAGAGCTTTGCATACGACATTTCTAAACATGTGCTTGTAGGGTGAAAAAATAAAAGGAAAGTTAGAAAAAATTCCATTTGGTTTCTAACACAATGTGGAAGATTTTTCAAGTTTACAAGAAAAACAGGACTTGATTTGAGAAATTGTACTATTAGTAATTAAAATATTTGTCAAGCAAGGAAACAAACCTAAGATTTTCAGAAACTATTCCCAGTTTTACACTGACCTGCAACGTACCACTATGAATGGAAAGATTAATACCCATCCCTTACCCCTTGGACTTGGCAAACATCAGAAGTTATTATAAAGTAGACTAAGACCCCTAACACCGGCTTGAGAGCAATGGTAAATCTATAACTCCAACATCTGTTGACATCATTTCAACACACCTTCCTTATTTAAACTCTGTGAGCCTGTGTTTTGGAAAGTATACTTTAACAGGCTCTCCTTAGAAACAGAATAATATTCATTTGAAATGTATGCACTTTAGAACAGTAAGTGCAGTTATAAGAACATGCATGCATCAATTCATAATTGGGTCATGAGAAGAGAGAAATAAATCCATGATACTTGTTTAGGAAAGAGGGCAATTGGAAGGAAAAAGAAAAAAAGAAAAGAATTTTAGTAAGTGGAGCTGAAAACATTTCAAGGATGCATGTGGGGAAAGTTATTCCTGTTAAGTTTGAACCTCATAGGCTTCACATTTACAAAAGTTTTGTTTTCCTCGCTAATTAGTTATTACATACCACAATAAACTACCATAGGCCTTACTTAGAACATTTATTTAAAAAAAAACACTACTTTGGTGATCTGTTGATTCAACCCTCAATAGCAAAACTATGAGGAAATGTTGGATGTTGAGGATTTCCCCCACAGTAATTAACCTAAATTTACACCAAGAACTATTAAATGCGAGATACCTGAAGAGGAAGAAAATTTTTCACAGCTGTTATATGCTAAACTTTACTAAATTAGAACATTTAAAAACTTCAGGTAAGCCTGAAAAATGAAGGACCAATCTGGTAAATTGAGGGCATGTCACAACTTTTAACGGACTATTTACATATATACTTAAGCATATGTAAATCTTTACAGGACTGGGGCCCTAAATACCAAAATTAACAAGCTACTCTGCAATGTGTCTGAAAAAGTATATGAAAAACAAGACCAAAAATTAAGAATGGCACAAACACACATTATTAAAGATAGTTTATACCTAAAATATAAGCAATATTAAAACACCAAGAAACTTTTTATACAGGTTTGTTCTTAAGTTGAATTTGTATGTAAGTCGGAACTGGCTCCAGATTCAGCTGCTGCCACTGAAACTGACCAGGG